TGCATACATTGATTGCTTCAGTTGGTACACACTTTAACTTTCAGCATAAAATCAGACACTGAGAAGTCTGTTTATAACAGGTTTTTCAATATCTTTTTAAGCCTTCCAGATAAAGATGTTTGACAAAAAGATAACAGGTCCTCAGTGGGTGTTTTGTTTCAAACCGTCTATCATGAAATTGCTCCCAGCATGGCACTACTGTCCATTAAAAAATTCACAACATTAGTGCGTACCCACATCTCAGGGCAATTCTTACAATGACTGCTTTATTTATTCACTCCAGTGTCTGTGAAGCTCAGATTACCGTTTAATTCTAAGCAAACTGCTAACTGTGAACATTTGTAAGAGAGCAGCCCATTAAATTCAACATTTATTCAACATCTCTAATTTGCTTGCAGTATGATGATGATTCCCGTTTTAAGAAATATGACTTTAGTTCTATATATCTTGTTTTCCATAACTTGTTCTAACACATCAAGTATTTAGTTTCCTTCCCCGTCACTTAAAAGGAACCTACAAATATAAATCTAGGCACAGTCACTGACAATTGAATAAAATCCAGTCTCTGTAATAACAGACATTTAATCAGATTTTAATGGGTCTTTATAATCATTAAGAGTTAGAGAAATGGGCAGGTAGACACATGCATGTTTTGTAGTAAGCATGTTTTAAAAAACTGGTGCATTTAATATGCGGCATAAGATAAGGATTATTACACAGGGAAAGCAGTCAAAGCCAAGATACTGGACTGAAAAAAACTAAGATATTATTTTTCCAAGTATATTGCTCAGTTATACATAGTGCTAAATGTCTGTTCAAATGAAAGACTATTTTAAATGCATATGATTGATCATATTCATATGCATTAATGCAAAAGGCACAGCCTGAACTTTGGGCCAAAAAACCTCCCACTGAACTCAGAATTTGGGCCTGAGGTTGGAGTACAGAAATGCAACTGTACATATGTTGAGAAGATGTTGATTAAAACATACGATTTCTACACACAAAATACTGTTATTTTCCAGACAGTGCCCCAGAGCAATATGAAAAATGTGCAAGAACTTATTCAAGACTTTCTTTTAAGTCAGGATTTAAGATTTGAATGCATTTTCTGAGGACACAGTGTCATCAGATGGGGTCAGTTTATAAACTCTTTCACTTTTCATAAAGCAGAAAATAAAACCCAAGAAATCTCTAAGTAAGCACAAAGAAATTACCACTCTTCCTGCCTCAAGTAACTCCCTCGTGCAGAACAAAAAATAACAGGGATATATATATCTTTACTTTTTATTTCCCCAAACTTCCGATATTCATCTATGACCTTTCGTTTTCCATTGCAAAATGAAAGCATGGCAAACATAGTACGTAACAAAATAGAAGATATGCTTAGTAATGAATCAAAAAAAATATAGTGGGTAACAGCCAAAAGACAATTTTAAAATACCATTTGTTCTGACCATATGCCATAAAGACATAAAGAATGCATTAGATAAAGGCTGTTTTACTTGGTATTATTTATCACAGGAGATGTTTATCAAATGAAGTTATTGCTTGACTGAAGAGCAAGAAATGGAATTGTTTTCTAATCTTGTTTTAAGTCACGAGCAGTGCCTTGAAGGAGTCCCTGAAGAGGTTACTGTTCAAGGGTTGCACTGAACCTTATCAACAGAAAACATCCCACCATGTCCTCTAGTTGAGATCTTTATTTCTCAACAAATAGTTTACCTGCTCCGTTATCTTTCCATGAACTCAGAGAGATAAAGCCTAAATAATGTTTCCTGCACCTTTCTCTTTCCACTTTTAGAAACTCAACATACTTGAACTTATTTCTATTATTTTTATAGTTCATGATGGTCATGGCTACCAGACAGAGGCTGTTACAGACGGTAAACTGTATTACAACATAGTCCTAGCTACACTATTTTTCTAGTTCATAGGCAAACTCAGCAGCAAGAAATACAGAAGACAGGACAAAAGAACAGGAAGGGCATGGAGAAAGAAAATTCTTTCCACTCCTCTTCATCTAAAGTGAGATGTGCAGACTAATCCTTTTCAATTTCAATTTGCAGCCTTCACCGTGAGCCAAGATCTGACAGGGGAAGATTGACTGGTGCTATTTGGTTACCTGACTGCAGGAAATTATATACAGGACACAAAAAACAACCAGTCACAATTTCCTCTACAAACAGAATTTAGCAGAGAAAAAAAAAAAATTAACAAAGATTAAAAATAGAATGGTTCCAAGCAATTATACATGAAAAAAAAATAAAGGATTAAACAGAAAAAAAAGGAAAAAAAAAAACAAACCAAAAACAGAAGCAGCAGCTACTTAAAAAGATCAGAAACAATAAAGAGGTGAACTCCCAAAGTGCTTGATGCCAGAAGATCCAGAGGTCGTATTCAATGAGGATCTCAATAAAATGAGGGATTTCTAGGCAGTGAAGACATTAAAATAGTCACAAATAACTTGCAGAAAAGATTTTACAATGGGTTGTATAAATCTTCTGGAGATCCAGCGAGACACTCAAGTTGTAAACCCACATCATCATCTCATCAATGCGATCGCTATTCACACTAACTAATTTACAGCTAGTATGGCCACATCAATCAGCAATACAGTCAGCTCTTCAGTCACACAGACTGCCATCTGCTCACAGTGTATCACAAGCAACAGCATATTTCCACTGACACACTGTGTGGGTGCAGTCCCACAGCACTCGAGCCAACACAAGGTAGGGCTGCCATGGCCCCCCAGCTATCTTGGCAGCACAGTCCTTGGCTGTTGCATCAGCATTGGCACTCAAGCGATCACGTCAGTTCAAGGAGCTGCTGTAGAAGACAGAAGAAGCAATTGGTTTTCCATGGGATCAGCTGCCTGAGCTGGCTCACTGCTCTGTCACATTAACAGCAGCGCTGGCTTGAGGGAGGCACCAAAACAATGTGGCTGAGTTTAGGATGGGAATACTGTGGCAGATTGGTTCAAATTGCCATGAAGCTCAATATGCAGCAACTAGCCTCAAATCAGTTTGTAGCTATACCCATACAGGTCATCCAGACCACAACCATAAATATCCATAAGCCAACACTGCCATCAGAGGTAGGAATATCTTGCCTGTAAGTTTCCTCCCAATGCTGATCCCATCTGTGTGCTGCCACAAATATCGGTATGACCAGAGATACGATCCTTACTGAAATAAAAGATGGGTACTACTAATGTGTGTGAGTTCCCTATCCTGTTTCACCAAGCAACTGCATAAAAGTATGAAGCAGCAGACACTGAAGGCTGGGCAGACCTTCTCCTTTTGGCAGTAATGCTGATTCAAGCTGCTTTAAAATGTATGGTAAGGTACATCCTCTCTATGATATACACTTATAAACCGTGAAGAAGTTATCATACTAACCTACCTAGACAAATGACAGAGAATTACTCTGTAATCAGACTGGGACATATTCCCAAAAAAGAAAAATTTACACGTCTCGAGGAAGCCACATCCTATAACAACTTGTTCCATTGATTTTCTAGCCTTTCAGTTAACAAAATTAAAAGTGCTGGCTATTTGCCACTTCCAAGCACTGGACCTTGCAATACATTTGCCAGACTGAAGGTACTGTCCTTCAAGTCAAATCTGAGCAAATCACCTTCTAATCTTATCTTTACCTTCTCAATCTCTTGCTGTAGGGCTTATTTTTCAATTTTATAATCAATTTCCTTACTTTTCTCTGATCTTTTCCAATCTAGCAAAATAATTCCTCAATTGTGGAAGCCAGAACTGAAAACATTATTGCAACAGTGCTGGTTCCAGAGCCAAGGAAGTAAGGTAAAATGTCCTCTTTATGGGGACAGTGTCTACATTCACCATTACATTATGCAAAGATGTCCACCAAATAGCCTTCAAGATGCTCAACTATTTTTCAGAATAAGTTCTTCAAGAGAAGTCTGTAGGATGATAAATCTCTTAATGTGGCTTTGTTTATTCATTCCTTGACCTAACAGCTTTACATTTGATTTATTAAAACAATAGTGGCTCTCTCTCTATCTCAATAAAAAAGACAGATCAAGGAAATGGCCTACCACTCATGTGCTTCGAGGTGTTCCAGTAACCATCCATCCTGTAGTCTTACCAGCATAAGAATATAGGACTACTCTATTTAGACCAGCAATGACACACCTAGTATCAGATGTTTCAAAGAACAATAAAGCTGGTGGAAGTAATGATTTCCATGATTTTTACTTATCTCTAAAACTTAGACACAGCCTTGAGCCCTCAGATGCAACATCTTCTACATTCACTACATGATTCAGTTAAGACAATGATTATTTGGTATCTCTATATGCATACATCTAAGTTCCCAGTCTCAGAGTCTAATTCAGGGTCATTCCATTCCTTTCAGTCAGTCCATGTGCAGAAAGTTCCCCAGTTTAGTCACATGTTGTACACAAAAGTATTTACTGACACGTTTTTTTCCCATTTCCTACCTTTCCATTTCATTGACTCACTCCTGTACTACAAGACAGACAGGTTCTGCTTCTCTAGAATTCCTGTTTTGACATGGGAAGCTCTACAGCACAGCTCTGCCAATACTGACAGGCTCTGCTTCCCCTTAATGTGCCTTTTGACAATACACAGTGTCACTGCCCCAAGAACAATGTCTTTTCTGCACATTGCTGAGAAAATTTAATCATGATATTTAAAAATCTGTCTGAAGATGCAAAGAAGTATTTTTATAATACTGAAAACCACTGACCTCTCAAGTATTTAAAACATGCCAGCTTTCACTATTTTTAGTCTGTTTGAATGAAGTCATTGTGAATTACGTTCATAAGTAGACATGGCATTAACTTCCACAATGACATAAGCTTTGATGTACTGAGTTCTATACAGCTCTAAACAGTTGGAATGATTAACAGCAAAGCTTACAAAATTGCAATGAGTAGAAAGCTAAAGGGAGAAGTCAGAAAGCCATTACTGAGAAGTCAGTAGGCGCATCACGTAACTTACCAAACAGGCGCTGATGGAAGAGAAATTTCCCAGCTATCAGTCCTGTGAGAATGGCAAGCAGCCACAGAAACACCTTCAAAAATCTCCAGCCTCCTCCTTCAGGGTATTTATTTGTTACAAAGGAGAAACAATTACCAACAACAATAACATTGGCTTCTGTCTGACTGTGAGATACTGGGTCCTCGGCAAATATTAAGAAGTTAAAGAAGATCACTAAGTAAGCCACAACTAAGCGAGACCACGGGTGCTGGAAGTAGTAGCGGAAGTCTTTATCCATCCTCAGACACTGCAGAACTGTTCTTTGCCTGTATGTAAAGACACAAATGCACAATGTTATGCGGACCCAGAATTCTTAGAGCTTAGCAGATACCTGCCCGTTACCAAAAACACGTCACTGTAACCTTGTCATCATTTATTTTTAACACTTCAGGCTTGACTAGCAATGAAAGTTTCAGTTAAAAATAGTTAGAGCCAAGTACAGAAAAACTGAAATTCCTGCCCATTCCAATGTAAAAACAACAAACAAACATATACACCTCATAGCACAGGATTTTTAGTCTCGGACATTACTATACTACCTCTCTAACATTACAGCTCCATAATGGGGCATGAAAATACAGCTTGTAAGAACGTGACAGGGTACATGAAACTCAGAGCACCTTTCCTGCCACATTCCAAAAAACGCAACACAGATTTCACAAATAATAGAAGCACAGAATAGTTTGAGTTGGGGAGGAGCTTAATGATCATCTATTTCCAAACCCCTGCTATGGGCAGGGACACCTTTCACTAGACCAGGTTGCTCAAAGCCCCATCCAGCCTGGCCTTGAACACTTCCAGGGATGGGGCAGCCACAGCTTCTCTGGGCAACCTGTGCCAATGTCTCACCATCCTCACAGTGAAAGATTTCTTCCTAAGACCGACCCCATCTAAATCTACCCTCCTCCACTTAAAGGCATTCCCCCCTGTTGCATCACTACTCATCTTCATAAACAAGTCCCTCTCCAGATTTCTTGTAGTCCCCCTTTAAGTATTGGAAGACATAAGGCTCAGAGGTCTCCCCTGAGCCTTTTGTTCATGTTAAGAATAAAGTGAATCTTTCTCCTAATAGAAGAAGGGTGGAACAAGCCCCCAAGTCCAGTAAGGTTTTCTACTGCCTCATTCCCTGGAAGCTTACAAGCATATATCCCAGCAACATCGGAAACTTGTGGTTACACGAAGTGATGGAAAAGTTGCTAGAATTAATCCTTGCGGGTCAGGCAAGTCTGCAGAAATTTTCCATTGGCTTCAGGGGGTACACCTATAATTAAGCATGTTTTCAAAACCAGAAAGTAAGAGTGCTCTGAGCACAGGCTGCTTTGTATGAAAACAAAAAATGTATTTTGAAACTTGCCTGCTTATGAAGTACTGCTATGGAAAAATGCAGCTGAGCACGGCAAACCTTTCAGTTCTTGGCCATTTGATTTCTTTTACTTTTATTCACAATCAATTAGTTGTTTCACCCTGTTGAAGCACTTTATATGCACAAAGATACAAGGCCTTTGTGTTGCGGAACACCGCAGCTATTCAAGGGACACAGAGTGTAGGAAGAAATAAGACAAAAACGAGTACCTAATAATATTGCTTGTTTATTACTGCATGATCCTCGAAGGATACACTGTACTTAACTGAACGCTACAGATTTTTGCAAATGTCATATCCCCTGCAGGAGAAAAAAACCCAAACCCCAATTGCAGCAAGACCAGAAAAACCCAATCAATTACTCATCCCTTCTGGGACTTCTGACTAAGTCTCACTTTGCAAACTTACAAACGGCTTGAATTACAACGTTTCCCTTTAGGTAGTCCCTTTCAAAATTATTCAATTCTATAATCTGATTTAGAGTTCTAAAATTACAAGGAATCCTGTACACACTAAATCAAAAAGATAAAACAACCTCCCAGCAGAGTCAGAAAATTCATTCCTTCAATAATAAAAATTAATCTTGTCCCATTATGTATAAATTACACATGATAAAAAAAAATGGAGTTAAAAAGTTGGCACAAGGAACTGTCAGCCCTTTGAAAACTTCATGAATAAAATGTTTTAAAGCAAGGGTCATTGGTCCAGCAGCCTAAGAATATAAAAATACCACTTTGAGGAGAGTATACTGCCTTTAGAGCCATAAGGATGCCCCAAACTGTTTAGTGTTACCCCTTATTCTTGCTTATGGGGGAAAAAAAAAAAAAACAAAACCCAAAACCAAACCAGTTAAGGTGTTTCCTAATGCGTATGAACTACCTTAAACCCAGAATGGAGATAAACAACTATATGTCCTGACAGTTCTGGCAGCTGCCGGACACCCGAGAGTTATTAGATACCCAACTGAAGACGCCAGCTTCCTAGGAAGCGTTTTATAGCATAAGCAGCCAATATTAGCAATAGCAGCAGTACCAAATCGCTAACAAAAAGCCAGCTCTTGACTACCTCCAAGCCAAATATGTGGGTACCAAGCAAGCCGCGCACCACATGCCCATCTCAACCTGTTAAATCGACCCAGTTCCCCTTGCCCCCGGCGCAGACCCGGGGACCTGCGGCCGCGTTACCCCTCGCAGCTGCCGCCACCGCCCCGCCGGGGCACAGGGCCACGGGCTCCGCAGCGCCGCCGGGCCGGTGCTGCCGCCCGCTGCTCGATGCCCGCCGCCCGCCTCACTCACCGCGACGGGGGATCCGGCGCCGCGGGCGCGGTGCTGCTGCGGCGCGGCTCCGTGCTTGCCGTGGTGCGGCTCCCAGCAGCGGGCGATCCCGCTCCGCTCCGCTGCGCGCCGGCGGCCGCCCGCAGCTGCCCGCGGCCGGCACGGCCCCCACAGCCCCTCGGGCGCTGACAGCGGCGCTGGCGCTGCCGCGGCGTCCCGCCCCCCGGCCGCCGAGGGAGGGAGCGGCTGCGGCGGCGGCGGCTGTGCCCTGCCCCTCGCCTCCGCGCCGCTTCGCACCGCTCCGCTCCCGGGCGCGGGGGAGCGCCGGGGGAGGGAGAGCGGCCCCGCCGGCCCCGGCAGTGCCGCAGCCGCGGCGGCAGCGCTGCGGAAGCGTCCCGGCGCCCCTGCCCGTCCCTCCCCTGGACCCGCCAGCCAGGACCCGAAACGTGCGGGGTATTCTCGCGGGTGGCTTTACTCACCCTGAAAAATGGTAGCCTGGGCGCCACGGGGGCTTATCCAGCCAGGGGAGGTGAGAGAAACCGGAGCGACGCTCAGCTCCCACCAGTCGGACTTGGGTAAATTAGCTGCAGAAAATTACAAATAGGGTAAATACAGGGTCAGATCTGGAGGTGTGTTACCCCAAAGCAAAACCACAGGGTTGGCTGTAAGAGATCGCTCAGGAAGATTTCCGAAAACTCTCTGGTTTGGGAGGTCTATATCCCTTCTGCTTACATAGGACAGGAATATCACAAGGCCATGGCCAGTCTCCAGGGTGCACGCACTGTCGGTATTGTCACTGCACTGGGAAAAACGCCTCCGTGCAGCCTGACAGAGTTGTTGACATTGCATTTCAGCCGAATTGTCAACCAAAGCCTTTTTATGTGGGATGTGGTCCCTAGTGCCAGTGTGCTGGTACTGCTGACATCCCTGGAAAACGTTTACAGGATGCTCTTAGCATTGCATTATGACTGTCTCTTAATGCAATATCTGCTAGTTCTCATCATTGCTAAAGATAATAGGTAAAATAAACGAAGTTGCCAGACAGCCTCATGGCAGGGAGGCTGGAACTAGACCAGCACAACCAGAACAATCACCAGATGAAAACTTGTAAATCACTTCTGTACTCATGGAAATATAGTTTTACGTATTTGTTGTAAATACCTGGATTGAAGGTACCTGACATAATCACGTTATCTTCCTCAGTGGAATAACCTATAAAACCCTCAATTTTAGATAGAAATACGTAATGTTCAGTATTTAACACTACCCCTTTTCCCCCAGCTATCTTTACAGTAAGCAGAAAATTAAAATATTCAGAGAGAAAAAATCATCATGTGCAATGAGAAAGTATAGGAATCCAGTGTGCAGCACTGCCTGTTCATGCAACAGTTCTGTGTGCACTGCCACACTTGCAGAGCTCAGACTCCTTCTGTTCAACAAATGAGAATTCACAGAGAAGGAGGCAGCACCCACCACAAAAGAGATCACATTCTTCCTGCACCTACACACTAAAAAAAAAATCTCTTCAGCTCCGATGGAAACCCATGCTACGACTGTAAAGCATTCATGAGCATCTTCTCAGAGAGTAAATCAGAGAGAAAGTTTTTGAAGCCACTAAGTCAATCAAATTAAAATCATGTACTCTTCTAGTAAGGTAACCAAAAACGTAAGTGCGCCTTATACCTCCCCCAATTTCATGTTGCAATTCATCTCTTAGAGGAAGCTATTTTTCCCCCCCCAAAAAAAGTGTAATATTTCACTCATATATTAAAAAAGCTGGACCACTCCTATTCCTTTTTTCTCTTTTGTTTAAATCAAGCAATCAAGATTTAGTTGGTTAAATACATACCTGAACAGCAACAGCTAACAAATAATTTAAGCCAACAAGACTAATTGGGCTCACTCAACCAAGAACTGCCAGGAAAAGAAAGATACAAACAAACTCTTACCCGTGAAACTATCAGCAAGTGAAAAGGCCAGAGTAAGTTGAACCTAAAAAGCACATTGAATCAGGGCAATGAGTCACCTTGCAACACTAATTTTGATACTTGTGAATGGAACTATTTTACCATCACTCCTATTATGAAACAGCACTTGTGTAAAGGCTATTGTTTTACATTCAGTGTCCAGCAGAAATTGCTACTTCAGGATACATTTCTGTAGAGTCATTTTATCCTCAGATATAAGGAATCAGCCTTCCGCACATTAGTCTGTAACTGGAAAGTTCTCATACAAGACTCTGCTGTCTCAGACAACTCTGGTGCAGGCACACACGCCAAGTTACAGTATGTTCCGAAATAAGGATGCTGTACTAAGAGACAGGTTTCCGTGCTTTTCTATGCCAAAGCAGAAGTACTAGTTTTGCCAATGAAAAAGCTCAAGGTCCAAACTAAAAAGACTCGTAATCCCTCCATTCAAAAGTAAAATAAAGATAAAATACAATTCAGCAAAAAATCTTGTGTATCCAGAGCTGAAAGGTAATTCTAGAGACTGGGAAAAAATGCTGCACCTTTGTCTGAGAAGGTCTCTGATATTCCATGTTATCTATACTGACTATGTGCTTGGCTGCTTGATCCATGAAACTGTGGGTCACTTAACACCCATGACTTCTCACAGAGTCACAACATAGCTGAGGCTGGGAGATTCTCTAGCCCATCACTGTGCTCAGAGCAGGGCTGGGTCCAGTTGCGTCCAGTCCAAGGTTGGAGACGGCACAACTCCTCTGAGCAACCTGTTTCAGTGTTCGACCACCCACTCAGTCAAAAGGTTTTTTAAGAAGCTAAATGGATATTCCTGTATTTCAGTTTGTGCCCATTGCTTCTTATCCTTTCACTGGAAAGCACTGAGGTGAGTCTGGCTCCATCTTCACTCCTCCTAGCAGGCTTTTAGACACATCAGTAAGATACTCTCCCTTGAGCCTCCTCTTAAGGTTATACAGTCCCAGCTCTCTCAGCCTGTCCTCCCACTCCTTTCATCTGTGGTTTCACAAATGACTCTTTCCTGGCTTGCTTCTTGGAAAAAGTACTTCATTCCCCTGGGGATTGTGCTTCTAATGCATTTTTCTTATATCCTGGAGGCATGGGTTGACGCTGGCCAGCAGGTAAGCACCCACACAATTGCTAGCTCACTCCTTCCACCTTCTCTCCAGGGAGAGAGAATAGGAGAAAAAACAGGGGAGAGAATAGGAGAGAAAGAGAGAACACTCATGGGTCAGGATAAAGATGTCTTAATAAGTGAAGGAAAAAAATGAGAAATAATAAAATGTAATAAGTGAGGATAAAAACAGAAAAAAAAAAAGAAAGTGATGTTAAGGCAATCACCAAGGCCCCCAAGCAGCCAGATGCCTGGTCAGTCTTTGGCTCTTTGAAGCCAACCCCAATCCCACCCTTTTTATCTACCCAGGTTTATTGCTGGGCATGATGTTGTACAGTATGGAGTGTCCCTTTGGTCAGCTGGGGTCAGCTATCCTGTCTGAGTCTCCTCCCAGATTCTTGCCCATCCTCAGCCTACTCACTGGGGTGGGAGTGTGGGCAGGGTGGGAAGGAAATAGCCTTGATCCTGTACAAGCACTGCTCAGCAACAGCCAAAACATCGGCATGTTTTCATTGTTTTAGCCACATACCCAAAACACAGCACAATTATCACTGCTGTGAAGAAAGTTAACTTAATCCTAGGCCAGATCCAGTACACCTGCAAAAAACATCCTCGGAACAAAAGATTCCTGCCTTTGAAATTTCACGGTCAAAGTTTTGGCAACCCCTTTCAGCTATACCACTTCAGGTCTATTCGTTATCTGCATCCCCAGCTTGTGTCTTACTGTCTGAAAAAAAGAGGAAGCAGCACACTAAAACATGAAACAGTGGAGAAGAAAATGAACCTAACAACAGTTAGTGTACAACTAAGGAGCCAAACAATTTAAGAACTTAGAAGAAAGAAAAGCAAAAATATATATCCCGTGGAAAGTAAGAATGTTAAGTTAACCAGAGACAATGATATTGCAGATACTACCACTGCTTTACTAATAGATGTGGAAAACAGGATTGCCTAAAAGAATGTGAAACAGCAACAGTGTTTCTATTGCATCTTTGGAAAACACGAACAGTGTTTTTCACGTTATGTAACCTTGAAATACTTTCCATTAAATCAATAATATGAAAGGATAGTAAACAGCAGCAACATAAATTAAACATTTATTTTTAAATGTCAGGTTGAAGAATTATTAGAAAAATAAATGAAAGATGTGGTAGTCAGCAATGTTAATCATTACATTTGTTTCCTAACAACTTCTGAAATGCTGAGGAAATTTCATAGAACTAGAAGAGAGTTAATGAAGTAACAGTATTTAAAAGGTGAATAAGATGACCTACTTAATTACAGGCTTCCCAGGCTGACAGCAAGCACTGGAAAATATATGGGAAAGGCAGGTTCAGGTCTCAGTTAATGAAAGAAGTGAAAGGAGAAGAACCGCAGTAAGCAATGGAAAACAGCGGCACAGGCTGTGCAGCCATGTGATCCCCCTCTTCACACATACACACGCACTGCAAATCAGAGTAGTCACCAGATGTGGTGGTGGCCTGACTAGTGCATCTGTTTCTGCAAGAACAACCAGCAATAATACAAGCTGACAGAACACACTCTTCGGAAAACTGTCTGATTACACTTTAGGGTCTAATGCATTTGTCTGGGTAGGTCAGTACCAATATACATATACCTGAACTCCTCAAGGTATTTCTGTGATCAGATACCTACTGACATTTCAATGGAAGAATGAGAATAACACAAAATCAACATTATACACAATACACAGATGAACTAGTAGGCTTCCAAGTCACAATAAAGGGCCTTATTTCTGGTTCTACTTAATATTTTTCAGCAATGAAACAAGAAAGAAATTGCAAATTACCTAAGACTAAGAATAGTGGCAAAAGGACACATTTCTGATACTAAACTTCTGGACAATTTGACTTACTGGGTACAACCTAATACATTTCAAACCAAATGTAAATGTGATAGGAACAAATTATACCTGCTCTTTCTATAAGGCAGAAAAGGGGGGAAAAAGAGCTTAGATGTAGATTTTAACAAATACAAATCTACCTAAAAATGTAGGATCTTGGGATCTGGGTGATTAGTATGAACTTTCTGATTCTTGTCAAGCAAGTTCTAGTTTGCCAAGATGAATTTAAGGGATGATTTCATCATTTTTGATATGTTGAATCACAAAAATAAAATTTTGAGCAGAATTTATTACATATATCTAATTTTGCAATAGCAGTGGAACTTGGGACAAAAAGCAGTAGGAGAAACAGAATTTTCAGCGACCTTTGAAGCAGAACCATGAAGCAGAACTCTAGGTACATGATATAAGGCTTATCAACATTAAAGCAGAAGCTGTACTGGGGGGTTTTGAAGTTGATAGTTGAATGATAACCAAAGTTTAAATTTGAATGAAGTCCTTCTGTCCATCCAGACCAAATTTACTCCAGGTAGGCATGATACTACTTCAAATAATCTACATTGATTAGATAAAAATCACTAAAGAACTGTCTAGTGAGGTGAATTTACACAATTGATTAAATACCTTTTAAGTGCATCTGCTGGCCATATGGATGCTTTCAACTGGTAGAATTACATGTGACTTCTGTACCAGAAAAGGAAAGGAATAATCAGCTTGCAGCTACTTTGATAGTTCCACATACAGAATTAGAGAAAACGCAAATTAAGGAAAAGTGGAATCTGAG